TGAAGGCGTGGCAAGAGCATGGTGAACAGATAGACGTGGTTACTTCAAGAGCGTGGTGAACAGATAGATGTGGTTACTTCAAGAGCGTGGTGAACAGATAGATGTGGTTATGGACAGCGAGGAAGAAGGAGAAGAGCCGAGTGTAGTGGGAAGATTTGTGTTTTGGAAGAATGGCGCCAAATATAAATCATATTCAGCTGTTTCCGATGGATCAGAAATTAAACCTGACGAGAGTGAGGATGAATGACCTGTTGTGGCAGGCATGGTGAGGACCTCCGAGTCTGAGACTCGCCCCAATGGTCATGCAAATGACTCGCTCCGATGGTCATGCGAATGACTCGCCCCGATGGTCATGCAAACGACTCGCCCCGATGGTCATGCAAACGACTCGCCCCGATGGTCATGCAAACGACTCGCCCCGATGGTCATGCAAACGACTCGACCCGATGGTCATGCAAATGACTCGCCCCGATGGTCATGCAAACGACTCGCCCCGATGGTCATGCAAACGACTCGCCCCGATGGTCATGCAAACGACTCGCCCCGATGGTCATGCAAATGATGATTCGGACCCAGTGGGAGTGACATTTTTTGGAGAAAGTGAATCCCTGACTTTTGGCTGATCCATATGTAGTCTCAGGCTGGGTAGAAAATAAGTTGTATACTGTTAAATGGGTGAAGGTAGCTGGAAGTGGACTTGTGATGATTATCTGTATTTCTTCTATCCAGAGGGAGCGGGCGCTTCGTGTCACGCGACTAGGGATGAGATCTTTGACTTGCTTTGCTCTCCGGAGCAGGGCACCTTTGAAAGGAGTGATACTGGGGTGGCGTTAAGTGTTGAGGTGGAGCAACTGAAATGGAAAATTCCCTGTGTCTGTGACTCCCGCCATTTGTTGCGACGCAGACCCGGTGGCGAGCGTGGTGAACCTGAGAAGACATTGCCTGTCCTTTTGAGTTTTGAAGCAGAGTCTTTACGTGATAAAGTCATGTTAGGATATGTCACTTATCCAGTGAGCGCTTTTGTGCAGAACCCACTAAGGTGTTTCAGATGCCAAGCTTATGGTCATGTTGCAGCAGTGTGTAGGAGGGAGATTCCAAGATGTGAGAAGTGTGCAGGAGGGCATGGGACAAAGGAATGTGTAGTTTTCTCCCGAGTGGCGCAGTGGTCTAAGGCACTGCATTGCAGTGCTAGCTGTGCCACTAGATCCTGGTTTGAATCCAGGCTCTGTCGTGGGCCGGCCGTGAACGGGAGACCCATAGGGCGGCGCACAATTGGCCCAGCGTCGTCTAGGGTAGGGGAGGGAATGGCCGGCAGGGATGTAGCTCAACGCCAGGGTTGTGGGTTCGATTCCCACGGGGGGCCAGTATGCAAAATAAAATAAAATAAAAATTATGTATGCACTCACTGACTGTAAGTCGCTCTGGATAAGAGTGTCTGCTAAATGACTAAAATGTAAATGTAAAAATGTATCGGAGGAAAAAACTGTGTGTGTCAATTGTGGGGGTGCCCATGTTGCTGGGGATCAGAAGTGTCTGGTGTGAGAGAGACAGGTTGAGGTTGCCAAGGTCAGAGTAGGACAAAATATGTCTTATGCTGAGGGAGTGAAGAGAGAAGAGGATAATGGGTCAAGGTTGAGTAGTAGGCCTAGGCCAATACAGAGTGATACGAATTTGTGCTTCGGTAAGTTTGGATTCTTAGCATTCATTGCCATGGTTATCAACTGTACCGCAGAAATTGAACGTAAATCACAGAAAATAGATGTTTTGGTGGCAGCTGCGGAGAAGTACTTGGGTGTACGAGGTTTTCCTGCAGAAGAGTTACAAGGTGTGTTGAATGAAAGAGTCCCGTCCTCCCAGGCCGTCAGCGTGGTGTAGGATCAGTTAGGGTCAAGGTAGTGGAATGGGGTGGTGATTTCTATTTTTGTGAAATATGGCATGTAATAGTGGTATATAGATGTTAGTTGGTGGTATGTAATAGTGGTATATAGATGTTAGTTGGTGATATGTAATAGTGGTATATAGATGTTAGTTGGTGATATGTAATAGTGGTATAGATGTTAGTTGGTGGTATGTAATAGTGGTATACTGTATATATGTTAGTTGGTGGTATGTAATAGTGGTGTATAGATGTTAGTTGGTCATATGTAATAGTGGTATATAGATGTTAGTTGGTGGTATGTAATAGTGGTATATAGATATTAGTTGATGGTATGTAATAATGGTATATAGATGTTAGTTGGTGGTATGTAATAGTGGTATAGATGTTAGTTGGTGGTATGTAATAGTGGTATATAGATGTTAGTTGGTGATATGTAATAGTGGTATATAGATGTTAGTTGGTGGTATGTAATAGCAATCTATAGATGTTAGTTGGTGGTATGTAATAGTGATCTATAGATGTTAGTTGGTGGTATGTAATAGCGATCTATAGATGTTAGTTGGTGGTATGTAATAGTGGTGTATAGATGTTAGTTGGTGGTATGTAATAGCGATCTATAGATGTTAGTTGGTGGTATGTAATAGTGATCTATAGATGCTAGTTGGTGGTGCAATTCTTTCCTTTCCCCTTTCTTTTTTATTTTTGTATCACAAAATGTAATGTGATCGAACACACACTACCGCACAGAAGGAGGCGGCATGCACAAACAAAATGTGTAAACGCCTTGCTACCAAAGAAGAAGTAGAAGAAGAAGAAGAAGAACCTTACCGCTCTTTTTTTCTAAAGGGGGCGCGGTGTTGTCACGTGGCAGTCAGGAACAGATTCACAACAATGTGGCAGAACCTTTGGAATTGAAATTAACATCAGTCCTGTGAGTCGAAGTTTTTACTCTGCGTGTTGCTAAATATATGGGAAAATACAACACACATAGCAGAATTGCAATGCAGCGTTCAGCTGCTTGCTATAGCTAACGTTAGTTGTCTTGATTTAGCTGTATGTAGCTATCTACCAGTAGCCCTTTCGACACTTTGCTAGTTAAATAAATACACAGGTAGCTGTTGGCTAACTAACTAACGTTATTCGTTTCGTTTGGCTGTCCCACCTGACTTGTCCATGTGTTGTTAACTAGATAGCTAACGTACGTAGCTTAAGCGATACCGTTTTTGTCTTGTTCTTTGTATAACAGTATGTGTAACGTTCGCTGGTTAGCCAAGCCCAAAAGGGCTAAATGTCTAGATGGGTTAGATTTCTGTTTGTTTGCTAGTTGATTTAGCAAATCAAAAAAGAGCCCTTATGCCGTGACATTGTGAATTCGCAATGCCGTGACCCGGATTCGAACCGGGGTTGCTGCGGCCACAACGCAGAGTACTAACCACTATACGATCACGGCGAGCTACCAGGGCCGTGTGTATGAGGGGGATTTTGGGTTACTCAAACGTGCACACACTGCCACGCAGTGACGTGTACACGCTAGCTGAACGGGTTATTTTTTTCTTCAAACGCTCACTCACGGATGTTTAGGAACCGGTGTAATTTGCTCGTGTTTGCCAGTTCAAATCAACCAATTAAATTTAGAAATGTACAAATATTAGGATGAACAATGACGGAGTCCGGAGTATGTATGTATGTATGTGATGGGATGTATAATCATTATGGACAGTAACGTTTTGTGGCTAGAATATATAGTATATCTGAAGAATACGTGGATAGAATAGTATATGTACAGCAATAGTTGAATAGGATGGCCTTGACTAGAATACAGTGTGTATATATATATATATATATATATATATATATATATATGAATGAAATGGGTACAACAGTATGTAAACATTATTACATTGACCAGTGTTCCATGTACATAGGGCAGCAACCTCTAAGGTGCAGGGTTGAGTAACCGGTTAGTTACTGACTAAGTTTAGCTAACACACCTTTTTTTTAGTCAGGCTATAGTTATCTAGGAAAAAAAGAGCCCGTTTGCCGTGACATTGTGTATCGCAATGCCGTGACCCGGATTCGAACCGGGGTTGCTGCGGCCACAACGCAGAGTACTAACCACTATACGATCACGGCGAGCTACCAGGGCTATGCGTCATATTGTAAGAATGTGTTTTTTAACTGAAGCCTGCAGTGACGTCAAGCGCAGCCATTTCACTGAGAACGTATTCTTTGCTTTGGCTGTGCACGCAATTTATCACATTGTTAGCTGTCCAAGCCTTTGTAATATTTCACTCATTGTAATTCATTTAATTTTGAAATATATATTCACCTACTATGCAAACAGTGTAGTTTATTGACAAACTATACTGTTTGCATAGCTAGCTAGTACTATATATTTACATGTATGTCATTTAGCAGACGCTCTTATCCAGAGCGACTTACAAATTGGTGCATTCACCTTATAGCCAGTGGGATAACCACTTTACAATATTTTTTTTTTTTAGGGGGGGTAAGGGGGTAGAAGGATTACTTTATCCTATCCCAGGTATTCCTTAAAGAGGTGGGGTTTCAAGTGTCTCCGGAAGGTGGTGAGTGACTCCGCTGTCCTGGCGTCGTGAGGGAGCTTGTTCCACCATTGGGGTGCCAGAGCAGCGAACAGTTTTGACTGGGCTGAGCGGGAACTGTGCTTCCGCAGAGGTAGGGGGGCCAGCAGGCCAGAGGTGGATGAACGCAATGCCCTCGTTTGCAACCAGAAAGAAAACATGGTCATAAATGAACACACATTCATCAGTAATAAGGTCCTCAATCAGCTTTCTGAATTGCCCTACCAAAACTTCACATTTAAGAACCCTTAACAACTAAAAGCAGATTTATCTAACTCAATAGAGACCGAAGCAATTTCCAATTAGCCATCCCTGAGACCAGGTGTGGTCTTACATGCAGTCTGGTCTAGGCCAATTGAGGAAAGCCCCTGAATTAGCAGTGGATGATCAACATTATCGAAGTCCTTTGACAGGTCAATGAAGATGGCACATCAATGTTGCCTTTATCCATACAATTAACACATCATTTACATATTTCATAGCAACACTAGCGAATATATATATATATATATATATATCAATGTTTGTTATATGCCAAATAGCTGTTTTATAGTAGTTTGAATGGCTAACCATGGCTTTTTCTCAGGAGGATACTCCAGAGCTGTGGTAATGAATGGAAAACTCATCCCCCATACTCCGCTGGCTGTGGACTTCTGGCAGGTTAGGAAGTGTCAGCATGTCCGCCTGTTCTTCCTGTCCCATATGCACAGTGACCATACTGTGGGCCTGACCTCGACCTGGTCCAACAGACCCATCTACTGCTCACCAGTCTCTGCGACACTGCTCAAACTTAAACTACAGGTGAGAAAGACAAAGTATCAATTATATTCTACACAAGGCAACATGAGGAATGTAGATATGGGATAATTGTTTAAACTATTTTTGCGTGCCATTACCAATTATTGAGCTAGCTATTGAAATATGAATGGCTGTATACACCATAGCATCTCCTTTTTATTTGCAAAGTGCTGAATCGCTTTTAGGTGTTCTATACTTCAGTTTATGATAAGGCCTCCTCTCCTCTTTTCCATGTGTTCAGGTCAGAGAGCGATGGATCCATCCTCTGGAGGTGGGGGAACCCAACATGTTGCCTCTGGATGATATAGGAAAGGAGAGGTTGACCGTCACTCTCATGGACGCTAACCACTGTCCAGGAGCGGTCATGTTCCTGTTTCAAGGATACTTTGGCACCATACTCTACACTGGTGAGAACTCTACATACCATACTCCGGCACTGTACTTCACGGTCTCTCACTAACTAGTCAACTTTGGCATTTAGCCAGCTTGTCTTTCCCGCGCCCTACACACGGCCCTGGTAGCTCGCTGTGATCGTATCGTGGTTAGTTCTCTGCGTTGTGGACGCAGCAACCCCGGTTTGTATCCGGGTCATGGCATTGCGATTCACAATGTCATGGCATAAGGGCTCTTTTTGAGTAAGTAGCTAGTAGCTAACAATACTCTGTACATTATGGTGCCACTGGAGTATATTATAGTGCCACTGGAGTATATTATGGTGCCACTGGAGTATATTATGTGCCACTGGAGACTTATATGGTGTGCCACTGAGTATATTATGGTGCCACTGGAGGTATTTATGGGCCCACTGGAGTATATTATGTTGCCACTGGAGTATAGGATAGTGCCACTGGAGTCTATTATGGTGCCACGGAGTAATTATTATGGCTGCCACTGGAGTAGATTATGGTGTGCCACTGGAGTATTTATGGTGCCACTGAGTAATAAGGGCCCGGAGTATATTATGGTGCCACTGGAGTATATTATGGTGCCACTGGAGTATATTATGGTGCCACTGGAGTATATTATGGTGCCACTGGAGTATATTATGGTGCCACTGGAGTATATTATAGTGCCACTGGAGTATATTATGGTGCCACTGGAGTATATTATGGTGCCACTGGACTCTGGCACTCTACTACAATACTCTAATCTCTGCTTATCAATCACATTTATTTTATAAAGCACTTTTTACATCAGCAGTTGTCCCAAAGTGCTTTATAGTTTCCCGGCCTAGACCACAAAGACCAAGCTAAGCAGAAGCACAGTGACCTGGAACAACTCCCTAGAAGGAGGAAACCTAGAGAGGAACCGGCTAAAAGGGGTGCTCCATCCTCTTATTCGTTCTTATGATGAAAAAAAAAGGCTAAACGGACACTCCTGACCTGCAAAACTATTTCATTTCAGAATTTGTTAGGGTTCAGTTTTAGATTTTGGTTTGTCGTTTATAGCCCCCTTATGATGAGGTATGGCAGGGGTTCCCCAAATTGTTTTACTCGGGGGGCCCCCCCTCCAGCATTCGGGAACATCCCACGCCCCCCAGCACGCGCGAGTACGCAAAACATCTATTTCTATGGGGACAAGCACTGTTCATGTCACAAACTTGTTGGTGGAGAGAATTTTGCAGGTTTAAAGATTATTTCCTGCAATTCTACACATTTTATCATGGGGTGTAAAGAAAATGTTGCAGTTTTAAAGCAAATGTTCTTGCAATTCTATACATTTTGCCATGTCTAATGTGTATTCATGTGATATTTGATTGACTAAAAACACGTTAGCTGACATGGGCTAGTTGATCTGGACATTTCTGACACATTATAAATATCTCTCTAAGGTCTGCAATGACTACTAACATGACAAGAGGAACTGATGATGCACTGCCCAGTTTGAAAATTACTTTCAAGAGTACGTTTTAAAGCCGGACTGAGCTATCGGGATACTCACACATGCCGTCACTAGCTAGGTTTTCATCCAATTGGCAACAGATTTTCAAGCGAATATTCTAAAATCCGCATAAAAACAATATGCAAATTTTCCCACCAGATGTGTTTTCATCAAACTGACTTGTTGCTGATAAAAGTGTGTGTGTGTTGAGGTAGTGCACATAAAAATAACTTTGCCGGTTAAATTAAAATGGATTTCCATCGCATTTTCAACTCAACTGATGGTTTTGTCACACAAAAAAAGCTGATATATAGACTATTATACTAACACATTCTTGTATTTGCACGTGCACTCTAGCCAACAGCTCGCAAATACAATGCGGGTATAGCCCACATGAGATTATTTTTTTATTTGTTCGAACAGCAGCCAAGCATCGATCATCATGTCACCAGAATAAGACCGTAGATATTTATTGGAAAGGAGCATCAAGCTCATCAACTTGCACCTCACAACCCCGTGAAGTTCATCATAACTTATTTCATCTGTAGCCTAATAAACTGAATGCTTTCCCAAGAGGACCCCACAACATGTCATCGCGTGACTCCAAGTTAACTTTGATATGATGGTGATTATATCAATATTTGCGCATGAAAGCGTTTCCGACATTTCTCGCATTATACATTTTACAGACACAAAAAACATCCCACCTTGTCTAGCGTATTTAGTTTTATCGACATTTGGAAAGTTTCCATCAGGCCTGTCGTGACATTTTTTCCTTTACTCGCATTTAAAAAGGTTGGTTGGAAACCTGGTTACAGTCACGTGGATGAGGTGGCTAAACGCCAAAGTCGGGTAGTTGGTCAGTTTAGCTAATGGTACAGTTTGATGCTAGTTAGATTACAGGTAGGGTTTTTGTGTTTATATTGGGTTACTCAGGCGTTCATTACAATAATGTGGACAGGGAGAGTGCTGACCTTCTTACTTTCCACTCCAAGGGGCCTCCCACATCACCTGGTAGCTTGCTGTGACCTGGTAGTGCCCTCAAACTCGACTCTGGACCTCGAAGCCAGTTCCCATTGCATTTTTTTTTTATTGTTCCCCTCTAATCAGGGACTGATTTAGACCTGGGACACCAGGTGTGTGCAATTCAATTATCAGGTAGAACAGAAAACCAGCAGACTGAACCTCGTAGGGTAAGAGTTGAGGACCTCTGTGTTGAGATTACGGCAACCCCGGTTCAAATCTGGGTTACGGCAATGCAATACACAATGTCACGGCAAATGGGTTATTTTTTTCCTAGATAACTATAGTCTATACCATTTATTTTTATTTTTATTTTTTTTATTTTTTTTAGCTAAACTGGCTAATTAGCAAACACGAGCAAATTACACCGGTTCGTTCCTAACCATCCACAAGCATTTGAATAAATGTTTTTTTTGAGCATTTAGCTAGCGTGTCCATGTCACTAGTTGGCTGTGCTCGCACATTTGAGTAGCCCAAAATCTCCACCCTACACGTGGCCCTGGTGGCTCGCCGTGATCATATAGTGGACTCATATAGTGGCCACAGCAACCCCAGTTCGAATCCGGGTCATGGCATTGCGATACACAATGTCATGTCATAAGGGCTGCGTAATCTTGCTGGAATGCCTAACAGGTTAAAAGTATTTGATAGTACTTACATACTACATATGTACTTACATATTACGTACAGGTTAAAACTATCCAGTGGTATTTGATAGTACTTTCCTTTAGGGATGAGTTAGATCAGGGATGAGCAACTCCAGTCCTCACACTTTTCCACTATTTTAAGCATTTCATTGTACTGTGTACACTACGCTGTATCCACAGTTAATTTTGACAAACTATTGATCCTCTGTGGCTAAATTATGCTCTCTGGTGTATTTTGAACATTGAGAGTGGGCTTCTGTGGTTGGATAAAGAAATCTTATAATATACCAAAAAACTTGATTTTGTATGTAAATAAATCTTTGCCTCTTGGGCCCAGCTCCTGACTCACATAATTGACCAGTCACATTTATTTATTATGCTGTTTTTTTAAATTTATTAATCAGTTACCAATCAAGGCAGAGCCCCCCAGTTACCCACGTGGGCGCCCCTACCTCCTCTTCTCCCCCATCTGATGATTAGCAGAGCGGCAGGAGGCAGCAGAAGGCTGAGAGCGGGTTCATGAGTCTTCCTTTGGTTGGCGGTTGCAGGGAAAAACTATTAAATATATACTACATATACACTATATATACACTACATTTCTGCTTTAACAGCCTCCACTCTTCTGGGAAGGCTTTCGACTAGATGTTGGAACATTGCTGCGGGGACTTGCTTCTATTCAGCCACAAGAGCATTAGTGAGGTCAGGCACTGATGTTGGGCGATTAGCCCTGGCTTGCAGTCGGCGTTCCAATTCATCCCAAAGGTGTTCGGTGGAGTTGAGGTCAGGGCTCTGTGCAGGCTAGTCAAGTTCTTCCACACCGATCTCGACAAACCATTTCTGTATGGCCCTCGCTTTATGCACGGGGTCATTGTCATTCTGAAACAGGAAAGGGCTTTCCCCAAACTGTTGCCACCAAGTTGGAAGCACAGAATAATCTAGAATGTCATTGTATGCTGTAGCGTTAAGATTTCCCTTCACTGGAACTAAGGGGAACAGTTATTGAGCTGACGTTGCTTCCAGAGGCAGTTTGGAACTCGGTAGTGAGTGTTGCAACCGAGGACAGACGATTTTTACGCGCTAGGCGCTTCAGCACTCGCCGGTCCCGTTCTGTGAGCTTGTGTGGTCTACCACTTCGTGGCTGAGCCGTTGTTGCTCCTAGACATTTCCACTTCACAATAACAGCACTTACAGTTGACCGGGGCAGCTCTAGCAGGGCAGAAATTTGACGAAGTGGCTTGTTGGAAAGGTGGCATCCTACGACGTTAAATGTCACTGAGCTCTTCTGTAAAGGCCATTTCTACTGCCAATGTTTGTCTATGGCGATTGCATGGCTGTGTGCTCGATTTTATACACCTATCAGCAACAGGTGTGGCTGGAATAGTCGAATCCACTAATGTGAAGGTGTGTCCACATACTACATACACTATATATACACAAGAGTATCTGTGTCTGAAATGTAATAAAACATATGTTGTTTTCTCACCTTAATTCTAAAGAGTATGAACCTTTTCTCTATTCCAGGAGATTTCCGCTACATCCCGTCCATGCTGCGTGAGCCATGTCTAAGGACCAACACCACTATAGATGTCCTGTACCTGGACAACACTAACTGTGACCCCACACGCACCCTGCCCTCCAGACAACGAGCCACTCAGCAGATCAAAGAGATCATCCGCAGCCAGCCCAAGCACAATGTTGTCATTGGTGAGACAGATGCTTAACCGTTACTCGTTTTGTGTAGCTGTCTGTGAACTGTAGTGGTGTAGGTACAGTGAGGGGGAAAAAAGTATTTGACCCCCTGCTGATTTTGTATGTTTGCCCACTGACAAAGACATGATCAGTCTATATCTATATTTTAATGGTAGGTTTATTTGAACAGTGAGAGACAGAATAACAAAACAAAAATCCAGAAAAACGCATGTCAAAAATGTTGGAATCAGCCCAGAACTACACGGGTGTCACGGTTTCGGCCGAGGCTGCTCCTCCTCCTTGTTCGGGCAGGCTTCGGCGGTCATCGTCCCCGGAGTACTAGCTGCCACCGTTCGATGTTTCATGTTTGTTTGGTTTTGTCTGTTTGTACACCTGTCCCTTGTTAGTGTTTGATTTGGTTGCCTATTTAGTTTTCGTGTGTGGGGCCAGGTGTTATGTGGTATTGTTTATTGTCAAGCTGTTGCTCTCTGTATTACTCTCGGGTTTTGTTGTTTTTCGAGAGTCCGCACTGTGTGCGCTATCGTCATTTTACGCACTGTGGTTATTGTGCGTAATTTGTATTTTGCCTCCCGGTTGGGTTGGCTGTTCGCCTGTTTGGTGCTGCTTTTGTTTACTAAAGTCTGTTCACGAACGCCCGTGTTTCCTGCGCTTGATTTCCACACCGCATCTACACTCAGCTACTGACAACGGGAGGATCTTGTCAATGATCTCAAGGCAGCTGGGACCATAGTCACCAAGAAAACAATTGGTAACACACTACGCCGTGAAGGACTGAAATCCTGCAGCGCCCGCAAGGTCCCCCTGCTCAAGAAAGCACATATACAGGGCCGTCTGAAGTTTGCCAATGAACATCTGAATGATTCAGAGGAGAACTGGGTGAAAGTGTTGTGGTCAGATGAGACCAAAACCGAGCTATTTGGCATCAATTCAACTCTTCATGTTTGGAGGAGGAGGAATGCTGCCTATGACCCCAAGAACACCATCCCCACCTTCAAACATGGAGGTGGAAACATTATGCTTTGGGGGTGTTTTTCTGCTAAGGGGACAGGATAACTTCACCGCATCAAAGGGACGATGGACAGGGCCATGTACCGTCAAATCTTGGGTGAGAACCTCCTTCCCTCAGCCAGGGCATTGAAAATGGGTTGTGGATGGGTATTCCAGCATGACAATGACCCAAAACACACGGCCAAGGCAACAAAGGAGTGGCTCACGAAGAAGCACATTAAGGTCCTGGAGTGGCCTAGCCAGTCTCCAGACCTTAATCCCATAGAAGATCTGTGGAGGGAGCTGAAGGTTCGAGTTGCCAAACGTCAGCCTCGAAACCTTAATGACTTGGAGAAGATCTGCAAAGAGGAGTGGGACAAAATCCCTCCTGAGGTGTGTGCAAACCTGGTGGCCAACTACAAGAAACGTCTGACCTCTGTTATTGCCAACAAGGGTTTTGCCACCAAGTACTAAGTCATGTTTTGCAGAGGGGTCAAATACTTATTTCCCTCATTAAAATGCAAATCAATTTATAACATTTTTGACATACATTCTTCTGGATTTTTTTGTTGTTATTCTGTCTCTCACTGTTCAAATAAACCTACCATTAAAATTATACACTGATCATTTCTTCGTCAGTGGGCAAACGTACAAAATCAGCAGGGGATCAAATACTTTTTTCCCTCACTGTATGAAACTGCTAGTCTTGTTGTCATTGGTGAGACAGATGCTTAACCGTTACTCGTTTTGTGTAGCTGTCTGTGAACTGTAGTGGTGTAGGTATGATACTGCTAGTCTTGCCTTGCTACAAGTCCTGGTAGCTCGCCGTCATTGTATAGTAGTGAGTACTCTAGGTTGTGGCCTCCGAAACTCTGAAATAGTTAGCTAGCTGTCATCATACTGTAACCAAAGATACTGATAACAATTCTGTGCTTTAACTTGAACTGGCATCTTGCCAGCGCCATCGGACAGTGACGGCATGCTTGAGTATCTCGTTATATTTTCCCCATCACTCAAGTCCTGGTAGCTTGCTGTGATTGTGTTGTGGTTAGTACTCTGCATTGTGCCCGCAGCAACCCCCAGTTTGAATCCGGGTCACGGCATTGCGATACACAATGTCACCGCGCTTTTCAAATGATTTACTATGAGTAGTAGCTAACTAACTAACAAACTATCTAACTCTCTATAGTGTGTGTGTTTTTCTCATGTATAAATTGTTTTTAAAAGCTTCAATGGGTTAGAAAACAAATTAAATCCAGTTTCCTCGTGGCCAGGGGCATCAGTTGGGTATGGCAGGGGGTAAACCATGCATGGCTCAAGACCAAACATGTAAAAGTAGGCTACAGAAAAGTTGACTAAAATCATTCCAATCCTGTTTAGCTTATTGTTGGCTGGCTTTAGAACTATTGCGCAGAGAGAAGCTGCCGGCCTGCGCACCTTTCTCTCAGAGAGCAGAGACAGCCGCTCAGCTGTTTAGGGAGTGCGCCTATTGCTTTGAACTTGATGCTGGCATTTGTAAGCCTCGCGGCCAGCTGTTTTATGCACCGGTTACTTTCACACTTTCAAATTGATGACGTCATAGGTGGCGTGTCCAATAGGCTAAGGGAAGATTCCCCTAAAGTAAATTCTTTTAAATGTGCCAACATTTGCTATATAATTACTCGTGCCTATACATAAATAAATTATATCATTTAAAATACTACACAAGAGAGCATGATTTGGCCACAGGGGATCATTAGCTTTTTTGCCTACCAAATAGCTGATTGTTGAGTTGTAGCGGTCAGTGAAAAGCAGTTAAATAGGCCTTGGCCTATCGTAATATTTGAAAATACAATCGTAGGAAAAACATAGTTTAGAAAGCAAATGGCTGTTGCTGGAAAGAGAAGACAAAGAAAATATTTAATCTGTCTCTAGTTCTCAAAATTCTCAACTCCCAATTGAGCAAACAGTGGCCTATCTCATTGGCACCAGCAGAGAGCATCGGCCATATCCTGGTGACGCATATTTACTGTCTTTATCATTGGATCAGTACCAATGGAAAGTTTTTTTGGGGGGACAGTAATATCCTCCTCCAGGCTAGATGGACGTCATATTGTACAATTTCTCTCTCCCCTTTTCATAGACCTAGATTAGATAGTTGTGACAAGGTTGTCCCGTGTAGCTCAGTTGGTAGAGCAATGGCGCTTGCAACGCCAGGGATGTGGGTTCGATTCCCACGGGGGGCCAGTATGAAAATGTATGCACTCACTAACTGTAAGTCGCTCTGGATAAGAGCGTCTGCTAAAATGTAAAATGTTTGTTTTTACTAGTCAGTGTCAGCAGAGTAGGCTAGGAATTTGTGTCGTATAAAAATAAAAATAAATGATGTTGCTTGTCTCCAGTCATAAAGTGTAGTTTCATGAAATGTGTTTATTCTAAAGGCACTCGCACATCTGAGCTATCTTTGTTGCAGGTGCATGGTAAGAGTTGATTAACACGCACACTGCTCTTGCTAGTATCGCTGCTCTTGCTAGTATCACTGCTCTTGCTAGTATCACTGCTCTTGCTAGTATCACTGCTCTTGCTAGTATCACTGCTCTTGCTAGTATCACTGCTCTTGCTAGTATCACTGCTCTTACTAGTATCACTGCTCTTGCTAGTATCACTGCTCTTGCTAGTATCACTGCTCTTGCTAGTATCACTGCTCTTGCTAGTATCACTGCTCTTGCTAGTATCACTGCTCTTGCTAGTATCACTGCTCTTGCTAGTATCACTGCTCTTTATTAAGCTTTACATATCGGCCTCAAGGCCTTCGTCAGAGCTTTTGACGAAGGCCGTGAGGCCGATACGTAAAGCTTAATTAAGAGGAGCGATACAAGCAAGAGCAGTGATACTAGCAAGAGCAGTGTGAGGGTTTCTTATTTTTTCTCATGAAATGTGTTTATAAAATGCAAAATCTTTCCTGTGCAAAGAAAGGAGAAGCAACGTCTCTGATTTATGCCTGTTGTGTCACTACGCGCTCAGGCATGCTTTGTTCAGAACTTTCTGTTTTGCTAACAGTGATTGAGTTATGTTATTAGCTTAAGTTATAACTATGCAATCTACTCATCACATTAGGAATGGGAGCCTATTTTACATTAATCTACAAATGCGGTGATAGATGCATGCAATCTTTTATTATAAAGGTGCAACTTTATGGTGAAAAAATTGCTTCCCTAAACTTGAAACTCGCTCGCCGCCTATGGATGTCGGCATTTGAAGTCGGCCTTGTTGTGACTTGATAGCGTGTATAATGCATCTGTTTCACGTTGCACTGTATGCGCCGTTCCACAAGTAAATGAGCCAATTTATGATGTGGTTGACATTGTTTATGCCGTTCCACAGACCTTTAAACCTAATATTGCGGTGATAATTAATGTCTGGGATCATTTGTTTTGTTTTTTTGGCTGTTCTCCAAATAGCATTTTAGAGTGTTTTAAATTGTGTAGAAATGAGGTAAATGAGCTTCAACTTCCAAAACAGTCCCCTCTCTGGCATACCCTAGGTTTAGCTGAACTGACACCACTCCTCGTGGCATAGAGATGCTGTATATAATTGTATTTATGCATATTATGTTCTAATTCTATTTCCATGTCTGTGTGTTGTCTGCAGGCCTGTACACTCTGGGTAAGGAGTCTCTACTGGTCCAGCTGGCCATGGAGTTTAAGACCTGGGTGGAAGTGTCCGTCGAGAGGCTAGCGATTCTCAGAGCCCTGGAGCTGCCGGATGTCTTCACCACTGAGCCAGGAGCGGGCCGGATCAGGGCCGTGGACCAGTCAGAGATCCGCTCCACCAACCTCCTCCTTTGGAACAGGGAACACCCCACCCTGGCCATCCTGCCCACCAGCAGACCCCTGGTCTCCTTCCACCCTAATGTCCACGTGGTACCTTACTCTGACCACTCCTCCTACCAGGTAGGGATGAGTTTTAGATTGACCACTCCTCCTACCAGGTAGGGATGAGTTCAACATTGACCACTCCCCCTACCAGGTAGGGATGAGTTTAACATTGACCACTCCTCCTACCAGGTAGGGATGAGTTCAACATTGACCACTCCTCCTACCAGGTAGGGATGAGTTCAACATTGACCACTCCCCCTACCAGGTAGGGATGAGTTCAACATTGACCACCCCTCCTACCAGGTAGGGATGAGTTCAACATTGACCACTCCCCCTACCAGGTAGGGATGAGTTTAACATTGACCACTCCTCCTACCAGGTAGGGATGAGTTCAACATTGACCACTCCCCCTACCAGGTACGGATGAGTTCAACATTGACCACTCCTCCTACCAGGTACAGATGAGTTCAACATTGTAGTAAAAATAGAAGTAACTCCTGCACACATGAGTTTACCTCTGCACATAATGATGTTATCATTACTGTAAATGTTTTGGTATTTCGGTATGACACCTTTTGAAAAAGGTGCTGTAGTTTTGGGACACCCTAGTTAAGGAGTCCCGACTAGTCCACCTGGCCATGGAGTTTAAGACCCGTCACAAAATTACAGCACCAAAAGGTGTCGTACAGAAACAATGACAATAAATGTTCAGAGGTCAAATCTTGTGTGCAGGAGTTATTTACATTTTTAAAACAACGTTGAACTCTAAACCAGATACGATAAGCCATAGCAGTGTGCATGTTAACCCCATTTTCTTGAGTTCAGAAGAGGAATTACCTTAATTCACCAAGTACATTCTGATCTTTACTTGGTGTCATGGTTCAACACAAAATCCGTTTATTTGTCATGTGCACAGGATACAGCGTAGTGTACACAGTACAATGAAATGCTTAAAAAGGGGGCTGAGATTCTAACTCAGGATCACCTGTTTACTAGACAGGCGCTTTAACCAACTAAGCGACAACGCCGGGTAGGGATAAAAGTCTGAGCCAGATTGACCCAAAGGGCAGGAACCCATCTCCTGTTACTCTAGTGCAGGGGTAGGTAACCCTGGTCCCTGGAGGCCCCACTTCATGTTTTTGATTTAACCAACCTGGGAGACCAGGTGTGCTGAATTTAGGCAATCACTGAACTGATCAATTAGCTCAGTTGGTCAGGTGTGGTGCCTAGTTGGAGCAAAATCCTGCAGTACCTGCTGCACTCCAGGAACAGTATTGCCTACCGCTGCTGTAGCGTAATGTAGCTTGATGCACGAACACATCCCCCTCGACAGGATGCTAGAAGGGAGTTTAACACTAGTTGATTCAGAATCCATTAGGCCTAGCTGTTGGTTGCTAGATTAATCAAAGTTGGTCACTGTTAAACTCATCAAGTGTGAAAAATGTGAAAGATGTATGCACTCACTAGAACTGTAAGTCGCTCTGGATAAGAGCGTCTGCTAAATGACTAAAAATGTTTTTAAAAATGTAAGAGGTGTGTGTAGACTTGAAATCCAAAGTGTTTGTCATATTTTACACAGTGCAATGAAATGCTTAAAAAGGCACTGCTGAGATTTGCACTCAGCTGTGTTGAGGATCAGCGTAGTGCAGGTGTTGTTTCCTACCTTCACCACCTGGGGGCGGCCCGTCAGGACGTCCAGGACCCAGTTGCACAGGGCGGGGTTCAGACCCAGGGCCCCGAGCTTAATGATGAGCTTGGCGGGTACTATGGTGTTGAAGGCTGAGCTGTAGTCAATGAACAGATGGGATAGGGCAGTGTGATGGCGTGCAATTTGTGCCATGCAATGACGATACCTGGACCACCTACTGAAGTGTGCTGTTGTAACGTAAATCACGTAAATCACGTGAAAAGGAACCTGGAGTGCCACTTTAATGTTTAAAAAAAAAAAAACGTTTCTTAACTAATAAATGAGTTTTTATTGAGATTTGAACTCAGGAGCTCCTGTTTACCAGACAGGCACGTTAACCAGCTAAGCCACAGTACCAGCACCTTGTATTGTCTTTCACAGGGGTCAAAAGCCACACATTAAATCAAAACAATTGTTTTTATTTAAAACTCATATCTCTGTACCGTAATGGAAAATATCAATCAAAATGTTGATTTCCTAATTTTGGAATCGATACGGACACTCGTTTTGACTAAGCGATTTAATGGATTCATCTAAATCATCCCTCCTAACAGGAGCCCTATACAGTCCCTCCAGGATTTCGCGACCTTTTTTTGTGATTTCTACGGCCAAAAATTCTTGATTTTGCAGCAGATTTTCTGAAATTCTGCGATACATTTTGCTATGTTTTTCCCCCACATTAATTTCATATAAAGCAATAAAACATCATATATGCTCAATTTTAGGACGATTTTAAGCAGAATACATAATACAAAAACAATTAGAATATTGTTTATTTTCCTGAACAAAAAAGGAGCGGAAGCTAGCTCAGAGTTCCAACATAAAAAAAAAATCCATGCATAATCTGTAGGTACTAAAAAAGATTAAACTAGGACAAAATAAACACCTGGGGTCCAATCAGCAATTAAGACATATTATATCTCAAGTCCATCTTCCATGAAAACAATTGGAGACAAAGTGCTCTTTTGGGCTGTTTCTTTTTTTGAACAAACACAGCTCTTTTTCTGAACATGCTACCACTGCGCTAAAAGTGCGGGAGTTGGTCAAAATTGCGGGCTCTCGCATAATATGCGCTGATTGGTTGATTTTGCATTGGAATTATGCGATCGCAGAATCCTGGAGGGACTGCCTATACTACTAATCAGGTTTGAGGAGTTCGCTTTAGTTAATGAGTTCAACTCGGGATAACCAGTACCATGAAAGTAGCTCACCTTTTAGCCAGGTACATCTCTATGGCAACGAATCCATCAGAACTAACCTGCTCCGGGGCAGGCTAACTCAGGGTTAACTCCATTTATCCTGAATTAAGTGTGTGAGCCATAAATTGAGGGCCAATTAAATCAGATACCTTCCCTCTCGCAAAGAATGTGTCATCTGCCGCGTTCAACTGCTAGTCATAACTCTGAAATTTCCGACTCACTAACTGGTTGTAGTTATACACGTGCCATGTTTAAAAAAACATTTCTGAGTTTCCTAGTTCCGACTAGAACGTGAATTCGGCAATCCTCCCCTTCATTTGTGGAAGAAGATTAAATATTTTATTCATCAAATGTTTTTTTTGTGTGTAAGAAAAGTGGTAAAATTAAAAGTATCACATTACACATTTAGTAATGACAGCATTTGCTTTCGATTGTAATGAGAAATTTGCGAAAGTCAAAATGACAGCTGCAACCAACCATAGACATATAATCCATAGATGGTAGTTCCCATTCAAGTCAGGACTGGAAACCATTGCTAGTGTACCCATGAGTTTAACAGGCAAATTGCCAGGGTAGACGGTTCCAAAACCCTTCTATTAATTATATGTCTATGGCCACAACGAAACAAGCTGTTCCACAAAGAGAAGAACAATCGGTAGGCATTAATGATAAGTAATCAAATAAAGATTGCATTTTTAAAGGGCAATTTCACACCATAGCCTGCTGGATTTGCAAGATAACATTTCTTTCTTTTTGATTTCAGTAGAAATGAAAATGTGGCAGTGACTCGCCCATGAATTGATGTTTCAGCATTGTCGCAATGAAGACCTCGGCGCTCGACTAGTCATGTACGACATGCACAAGGAGTTGCAAGCCTGCTAGAGTTAGCGGCAGGCAGACGAGCAATATCCACCGTGGTAGTACGGATGAAGCCTCACCTGGAATGTGAAGCTAACTAGCTGGCTAGCTTTATAAAAGCCTGAGTAGATCTAGCTTGCTTCGTAGTATGCCACTCTGGTGGACAAATGCCAGAGTTGTTGAGTTACCCAGTGAATTAGTTTACACTGGTTAGATTACATTTAGCCATACTGTTTTAGATTACACCAGGGATGGGCAACTGGTGGCCCGCGACCCCCCCTTTTTTTTAGGCACGCTTTTTGGAACTCTGTCGTAGTCTCAATTTACTTAGTTAGAATAATACAATACACAACATTTGGATGTGCATCAGCAGTCACTTAATTAGCCCATGTCAGCTACATTTCTTTTAGATTGGTAGGTTAGTCTAGCAGCCAGCTATCTATACTTGTAGTAAGCATGGTCAAATTACCGACCTGGGTGGGGGCCATTTGACAATCAGTTATCATATTAAAAGAGCAAACATTTGCATCCACCCTATGGCAAAATGTGTAGAATTGCAGTACATTTGCTGTAAAACTGCAAATTCTCCTCTCCGCCGCATGGCAAAATATGTAGAATTGCATGAAATGAGTTATAAAATAGCTAAATCTTCTCTCTGCCTCATGGCAAAATGTGTAGAATTGCATGAAATTAGTTATACAATTGCAAATCTTCTCTCCGCCGCATGGCAAAATATGTAGAATTGCATGAAATGAGTTATAAAATAGCTAAATCTTCTCTCTGCCTCATGGCAAAATGTGTAGAATTGCATGAAATTAGTTATACAATTGCAAATCTTCTCTCCGCCGCATGGCAAAATGTGTAGAATTGCATGAAATGAGTTATACAATTGCTAAATCTTCTCTCCGTCGCATGGCAAAATGTGTAGAATTGCTAAATCTTCTCTCCGCCGCATGGCAAAATGTGTAGAATTGCAGGAAATTAGTTATACAATTGCTAAATCTTCTCTCCACCGCATGGCAAAATGTGTAGAATTGCATGAAATTAGTTATACAATTGCTAAATCTTCTCTCCGCCGCATGGCAAAATGTGTAGAATTGCATGAAATTAGTTATACAATTGCTAAATCTTCTCTCCGCCGCATGGCAAAATGTGTAGAATTGCATGAAATGAGTTACACAATTGCTAAATCTTCTCTCCGTCGCATGGCAAAATGTGTAGAATTGCTAAATCTTCTCTCCGCCGCACGGCAAAATGTGTAGAATTGCAGGAAATAAGTTATACAATTGCTAAAACTTCTCTCCGCCGCATGGCAAAATGTGTAGAATTGCATGAAATTAGTTATACAATTGCTAAATCTTCTCTCCGCCGCATGGCAAAATGTGTAGAATTGCAGGAAATAAGTTATACAATTGCTAAAACTTCTCTCCGCCGCATGGCAAAATGTGTAGAATTGCATGAAATTAGTTATACAATTGCTAAATCTTCTCTCCGCCGCATGGCAAAATGTGTAGAATTGCATGAAATTAGTTATACAATTGCTAAATCTTCTCTCCGCCGCAATGCAAAATGTGTAGAATTGCATGAAATGAGTTATACAATTGCTAAATCTTCTCTCCGCCGCAATGCAAAATGTGTAGAATTGCATGAAATTAGTTATACAATTGCTAAATCTTCTCTCCGCCGCAATGCAAAATGTGTAGAATTGCATGAAATTAGTTATACAATTGCTAAATCTTCTCTCCGCCGCATGGCAAAATGTGTAGAATTGCATGAAATGAGTTATACAATTGCTAAATCTTCTCTCCGCCGCATGGCAAAATGTGTAGAATTGCATGAAATGAGTTATACAATTGCTAAATCTTCTCTCCGCCGCATGGCAAAATGTGTAGAATTGCATGAAATTAGTTATACAATTGCTAAATCTTCTCTCCGCCGCATGGCAAAATGTGTAGAATTGCATGAAATTAGTTATACAATTGCTAAATCTTCTCTCCGCCGCATGGCAAAATGTGTAGAATTGCATGAAATGAGTTACACAATTGCTAAATCTTCTCTCCGTCGCATGGCAAAATGTGTAGAATTGCTAAATCTTCTCTCCGCCGCACGGCAAAATGTGTAGAATTGCAGGAAATAAGTTATACAATTGCTAAAACTTCTCTCCGCCGCATGGCAAAATGTGTAGAATTGCATGAAATTAGTTATACAATTGCTAAATCTTCTCTCCGCCGCATGGCAAAATGTGTAGAATTGCAGGAAATAAGTTATACAATTGCTAAAACTTCTCTCCGCCGCATGGCAAAATGTGTAGAATTGCATGAAATTAGTTATACAATTGCTAAATCTTCTCTCCGCCGCATGGCAAAATGTGTAGAATTGCATGAAATGAGTTATACAATTGCTAAATCTTCTCTCCGCCGCAATGCAAAATGTGTAGAATTGCATGAAATTAGTTATACAATTGCTAAATCTTCTCTCCGCCGCAATGCAAAATGTGTAGAATTGCATGAAATTAGTTATACAATTGCTAAATCTTCTCTCCGCCGCATGGCAAAATGTGTAGAATTGCATGAAATGAGTTATACAATTGCTAAATCTTCTCTCCGCCGCATGGCAAAATGTGTAGAATTGCATGAAATGAGTTATACAATTGCTAAATCTTCTCTCCGCCGCATGGCAAAATGTGTTTCTGCGGCCACAATGCAGAGTACTAACCATTATACCATCACAGCCAGCTACCAGGATTGGGGTAGACATTAGGCCTGTTAACTCAAGCCTGCAGTGGTTTAACCTCTGTATGGCTCTGCATGCAAGGAGTGGTCCAAAACCATTTAAAGATATTGAACTGCTTTTGTCTTGATATCCGGTCGAGAAACTAGTGTACAGACGCCCTTGATTGATTTTAATTGATTTATCTAACTCATCTCTCCTTCCTACCAGGAACTGGAGGACTTTGTCTCAGCCCTGCGGCCCACCTCCCTGGTCCCCATCGTGGGCAGGCTTACCACTGGCATCCCCTCCTTCTCTGCCCTGCTGCCTAGGAGAAAACGCCACGAGGTCCTGGTTCCTGAGTCAGTCCGGCACTACATGAAGGGCCGACCTGAGTTGCAGGTTCAAGACCCTGGTCAGTCCAGCTTCCTGGGTTACAGTAACCTGCCGCGGAGGCCTATCCGACCCCCTCCACCCAGAGGGGTGGTGTTTGAGTCCCCCCCTAAGGCCCCCTCCAGAGACTCCACGCCTGGGTCGGTGGTGGTCGAAGCCTGGGAGACAGGGTCCATGGAGCATCCTGGTCAGGAGGAAGAGATGGACACGGAGATGGATGCCGACAGAGATGGAGAAGAGTCGGACTGTATGCTGGTAGATCTGAGTGAAGACCACAGCCCTACCAAAGACACAGGACCCAGCTCCAGCCCCGACCCTAACCCCAGCCTAACCAGAGACCCCAATCCCAGCCTCAGCAGAGACCGAGACCCATGGAGCCTGAATCTGGTCCACAGGGTCTCAGAGAACCTGGATCTGGAGGAGAGTGTCCCCTTCAGTCAGTTCACCCAGAGTAACTTCACACTCATGGAGGTCCTGAGAAACACTGCCATTTCACTGAGGCCCAGAGCTGTGAGAGAGGAGACCCATCCTCAGTATTTGCCTTGTGATAATATGGCCGCCTTAAACTGTAACTTAAACGCAGTATCAATTAACATAACCAGTTACCACAATGGAAACCCAGACCAGGAGACAGAAACTCTTCCATTACTGCAACTAAGCCTGAGCTCCTGTTCCAGTGACAGTCCCTGTGCGAACGCTAGTGACCCCACTGAAACACAACCTGAGCCAACAGAAGACTGTGAGGTGACTCTCCTGCTGTCCCTCCCTTTCTCTGAGGAGGACTTGTCTGTCTCTGGCTGCTATAGCAACACGCTCCTGGAACGGAGATTTTTGGAAAAGTTCAGCCTCTCTCCTTCAGATGTGGAGTAGGGGGTGAAGTTACCCAGGCCTAGACACTGATCTTGCATTTTTCCCCGCTACTGGTTAAGGTTATGATTGGGAGAGGTGAAGCTGATCTTAGATATGTACCTAGGGGAACCTTCCAGTGAGGGAATATGAGTTAGTCAGTTCCACTCTGCTGTTGAGAGGTACCTTAGCTGCTAACACCAGACAGAGGATAATGTGAATGCTAACCGTGTCAACATTCTTTCCTTCACATTCCTTAAGAAGACTCTTCTTGTACTGTTTTAAAAAGCACTTCTTCAGTTGTGTATATAAAAGAAAAGTATGTTAAAAGTTTAACTTGCTAGGTCAGATTTTAATTGGAGATTTTCCATTTGAGTTTGCTTTTTGGTTCAGGACTAGGCTTCATCTGTGTCCGGGAAACCGACCCATTATGTTTACTTTAAGGGTAGTGCATATTTCACTGTGTCATTTCATTTATGACATGATTTGTGTTTATACAGGTGCAGTATTTACAAAGCTCTCACCTACTATGTTATGGCTAGGTTGTAGGCTGCATGGATTCATTTAATTTCCTGTAATGTGCCACAGTGTTTGAACCATGTTTTAAATGTGAATAATTAGTGAAAGACTTCTTACTGTAGCCCACATGTTATATGCCTTTTAATGCTGCTCACAGTTCACTGTTGATTTTATATATATATATATATAACATACACTAAGTATACCCAAACATTAGGAACCCCACCCCCAACTGGTGTCGAGCTCCCTGCCATCCAGGACCTCTATGTCAGAGGAAGGCCCGAAAAACTGCCAAAGACTCCAGCCACCAAAGCCATAGACTGTTCCCTCTGGTACCGTCTGGCAAACGGTACTGGAGCATCGGCTCCCATACCAGCAAGCGCCGAGACAGCTTCTTCCCCCCTAGCCATAAGACTGCTAAATAGTTAATTAAATGGTAACCCGGACTATCTTCACTGACCCTATCTTGCACAGACTCTATGCACACTCAAGACTATACACTGAGTGTACAAAACATTAGGAACACCTTCGTAATATTGAGTTGCACCCCCTTTTGCCCTCAGAACAGCCTCAATTTATCGGGGCATGCACTCTACAAGGTGTCGAAAGCATTCCACAGGGATGCTGGCCCGTGTTGACTCCAATGCTTCTTCCCACAGTTGTGTCAAGTTGGCTGGATGTCCTTTTGGTAGTGGACCATTCTTGATACACACGGAAACTGTTGAGCGTGAAAAACCCAGCAGCATTGCAGATCTTGACACAAACCGGTGCGCCTGGCACCTACTACCATACCCAGTTCAAAGACACTTAAATGTTTTGTCTTGCCCATTCACCCTCTGCATGGCACACATACATACACAATCCATCTCTCAATTGTCTCAAGGCTTAAAAATCCTTCTTTAACCTGTCTCCTCCCCTTCATCTAACACTGATTGAAGTGGACTTAACAAGTGACATCAATAAGGGATCATAGCGTTCACCTGGTTAGTCTATGTCATGGAAAGAGCAGGTGTTCTTAATGTTCTTAATGTCTACTCAGTTTATATTCTCAGTTTACTGTTGATTAAAATGTGTTACCTTCTCACAGTCACTGTTAATTAAAAAAGTATTGTTACCATGGAATTGAAATATATGTAAAATAAAGTTTAAATGATGTTGGCATTTAATTGCTGTTTGTGGCTCCTGTACAAATTTACTCAGTCAAATACTGTAGTTTCCAGTGCTGATGGAAAGCTTCTCCCAATAGCTTGTAATTGCAACATTTGGCCAAAAGGAGGCAGTAGATTGCTCATAGAGTGAATATGTTCTGGTGTTTCCCTGTTGAGAATGACAGAGGACTCAAGTTACAGAGCTCCAACATTGACTTGCTAATTGAAAATTAATAGGGTTCAGATGGAGTTTGCATTTGTGAATATATAAAGAATTTAAAGTGAATAGATTATTTAGATATACATCAATAACATAATATCAATTATAGTTCATACCTACCGGGGCGGCAGGTAGCTTAGTGGTTAAGAGCGTTGTGCCAGTAACCGAAAGGTTGCTGGTTCTAATCCCTGAGCCGACTAGGTGAAAAATCTGTCAATGTGCCCTTGAGCAAGGCACTTAACCCTAATTGCTCCTGTAAGTCGCTCTGGATAAGAGCGTCTGCTAAATGAGTAAAATACCTATTACCTACAGTATAACCTTCTACCTCCGGCACAAGAGCTGATGGTCATCTCATCTGAGATATGATGATAGTGGTGATGAGACGGGACTTCCACCCATATACTGACGCAAACCTGGGATCAAATAGCTTGTCTTTTCTTTCAACTAATCTATGTATCTGTATATAATGTACCTGAAAGGAAACAAATACTTTTTGAACCCAGGTCTGCTACACTACAGAGCTGTGGATCTATCTGTCACTGCAGCCTCATCCACAGCAGGTTTACCATATAGGGCGCTATTTGGGGCACAGGCTATGCTTCTCTGTGCCCTTCCACTGCCCCAGGGTGCAACACAGAGAGAAGCTCATCCTCCAACCACTAATGGAACATGTGACCTTCAGCTTTTACACTGTCAGCTGCACTGAGCACGAGGGCCTGGGTTGGTGAGGAGCCAGGAAGAGGTGGACTGGAGAATTAGAACCAGATTCAGAGAGACCGGGAAATAACAGGTATTATGTATATCGCTATGGATTTTAAATGTATGTATCATTTATTATGCAATATGTTTTATTACGCTATGTAAATGTTGAGATGCTGACAAATGTGCTCCAATTGGCAGGAGGAGGTGTACTAGAGAGCAGGAGCCAGAGAGGTGCCAGGGAGAAAGGTGTCTGCTGTATATCTCTCTGTGGATGGATTGGGGGAAATTATGATCATTTATTGCGGAATATTTAAACGTTTGTCCTTTTTAGGCACAGAGCAAGAGGACGTGGCTAGGAGGAGGAGGTGAACTGAGGAACTGAGACCAGAGAGACCAGGAAGGAACAGTTATATTGTATGGCTCCATGGATGTATTAGCAAAACTAGCATAATTTATTGTCTAATATGAATCTGATATTCTTACCAATCCGCTCGATATGTACTATGTACAGTCGTGGTCAAATGTTTTGAGAATGACACAAGTATTGGTCTTCACAAAGTTCGCTGCTTCAGTGTGTTATGATATATTTTTGTCAGATGTTACTATGGTATACTGAAGTATAATTACAAGCATTCCATAAGTGTCAAAGGCTTTTATTGACAGTTACATTAAGTTTATGCAAAGAGTCAATATTTGCAGTGTTGACCCTTCTTTTTCAAGACCTCTGCAATCCGCCCTGGCATGCTGTCAATTAACTTCTGGGCCACATCCTGACTGATGGCAGCCCATTCTTGCATAATCAATGCTTGGAGTTTGTCAGAATTTGTGGGTTTTTGTTTGTCCACCCGCCCCTTGAGGATCGACCACAAGTTCTCAATTGGATTAAGGTCTGGGGAGTTTCCTGGCCATGGACCCAAAATGTCGATGTTTTGTTCCCCGAGCCACTTAGTTATCACTTTTGCCTTCTGGCAAGGTGCTCCATCATGCTGGAAAAGGCATTGGTCGTCACCAAACTGTTCTTGGATGGTTGGGAGAAGTTGCTCTCGGAGGATGTGTTGGTACCCTTCTTTATTCATGGCTGTGTTCTTAGGCAAAATTGTGAGTGAGCCCACTCCCTTGGCTGAGAAGCAACCCCACATGAATGGTCTCAGGATGCTTTACTGTTGACATGACACAGGACTGATGGTAGCGCTCACCTTGTCTTCTCCGGACAAGGTGTTTTCCGGATGCCCCAAACAATCGGAAAGGGGATTCATCAGAGAAAATGACTTTACCCCAGTCCTCAGCAGTCCAATCCCTGTATCTTTTGCAGAATATCAGTCTGTCCCTGATGTTTTTCCTGGAGAGAAGTGGCTTCTTTGCTGCTCTTCTTGACACCAGGCCATCCTCCAAAAGTCTTTGCCTCACTGTGCATGCAGATGCACTCACACCTGCCTGCTGTCATTCCTGAGCAAGCTCTGCACTGGTGGTGCCCCGATCCCGCAGCTGAATCAACTTTAGGAGACAGTCCTGGCACTTGGTGGACTTTCTTGGGCGCCCTGACGCCTTCTTCACAACAATTTAACCTCTCTCCTTGAAGTTCTTGATGATCCGATAAATGGTTGATTTAGGTGCAATCTTACTAGCAGCAATATCCTTGCCTGTGAAGCCCTTTTTGTGCAAAGCAATGATGACGGCACGTGTTTCCTTGCAGGTAACTATGGTTAACAGAGGAAGAACAATGATTTCAAGCACCACCCTCCTTTTAAAGCTTCCAGTCTGTTATTCTAACTCAATCAGCATGACAGAGTGATCTCCAGCCTTGTCCTCGTCAACACTCTCACCTGTGTTAACGAGAGAATCACTGACATGATGGCAGCTGGTCCTTTTGTTGCAGGGCTGAAATGCAGTGGAAATGTTTTTTGGGGATTAAGTTCATTTTCATGGCAAAGAGGGACTTTGCAATTAATTGCAATTCATCTGATCACTCTTCATGACATTCTGGAGTATATGCAAATTGCCATAATCAAAACTGAGGCAGCAGACTTTGTGAAAATTAGGATTTGTGTCATTCTCAAAACTTTTGACCACGACTGTACTTTAGTTGACTTTCTGTTGGTATCTGTATGAATCATATAATGGAGAACAACAGATGGTCCCAGGCTCTCAGGAAGACTCTACCAAGTACTGTATAAAGTATCTTCCATTCATTCTGTCATCTGTGGGATTCAACTGTCAGAGAACTGACAAGCTGAGGCTGGCTAGAGTTGTCTTCCTCCTGCCTTCTCAATCCCAGTCCCACAAATTTAGACAGCTTCACGTCCGTACTGGATTGATTCTATACAGTCTACAGTCTTTTCAATTTTCCATTCATTTTGTGGGATTCAAATGCTATTAGGGAAATCACCAACTGAAGCTAGATTCTGTCCTCCTCCTGCCTTCTTTCTGTCTTCCTCCTGCCTTCCTCCTGTCTTCCTCCTGTCTTCCTCCTACCTTCCTCCTGTCTTCCTCCTGCCTTCCGCCAGTCTTCCTCCTGCCATCCTCCTGCTTCCTCCTGCCTTCTGCCTGTCTTCCTCCTGCCTTCCTCCTGCCTTCCTTCTGTCTTCCTCCTGTCTTCCTTCTATCTTCCTCCTGTCTTCCTCCTGCCTTCCTCCTTCCTTCCTTCCTCCTGCCTTCCTTCTATCTTCTTCCTGCCTTCCTCCTGCCTGCCTGCCTTCTGCCTGCCTTCCTTCTATATTCCTCCTGTCTCCCTCCTCCTGCCTTCCTCCTGTCTTCCTCCTGTCTTCCTTCTATCTTCCTCCTGTCTTCCTCCTGTCTTCCTTCTATCTTCCTCCTGTCTTCCTCCT